GATGAACCACTGATCGGGAAACCGGCGCAGACTCTTCGCGAGGGAAGCCTTCCTGTCCGGGTTCACGGGCACGTACATGGAGGGTCCGGCTTGATGAACAAAAGCTGACAACTTGCCGGCCAGGATGGCTCCCTCTACCTCGGCTGATTTATTCCTCTTAGGAGACGGCGGGGCCTCATTCTGCGCCCTGGCCTCCACCTCCTCCTCGGAGTCCTCTGGCTCATCCGCAAGAATCCGGCGCTTTCTCTGCCGTGTCCCGACACCCTGGCCGGCACCGAGAAGGCACGTTCTCGATGGTCGGGTTCGGCGGTGCGTGACCCGAAGCCCCCGCCGAGCTTGAACCCGGGGCCTTCTTTTTGCCCTGCTTCATCAGAAAATCTATGCGGTTGGCCATCTTCCTTTCTTTCAACGAGTTTGGATTGGCGCGCGCATGTTTGTTTGCTTCCTTGAGCGAACTGAATCCACACTCATGCAGGAGAGGATAGTACACTGCCAAGAGAGAACATAAAAAGATGAGAGCAAGTGTGAGGAAAAATCCGAGATGACCAAACATAAAAGGAACGGGACGGTACCGGGCTCAAAAGACTTGTTGTTGTACTCGGGGCAAAAGCCGTGTTGGACCAAGCTCTCCTCGGCAACGAGATCTTTGAAGTACCGCTTTGCGTCAGCAAATCCCAACAAGGTGTCGATCTTCTTGACCAGCTCGTCACTTGGTTCAACACGCGGATTGTGTACTGAAATGATGATACCGACCTGTTAGCACAAGAAAAGACACATAATCAGTCGAGGAGAAATGGGTAAGAAAAAAAAATCATTTTTGCCGGAAGTAAACTAAGTAGACGGATGCCGGACTGCATCTGGGGTTTTCCACTCACCGCCGACCCAGAACCACTCCGGTATGTAACCGTGCAGCGACTCAGGGACTTTGTAGATCAAAGATTTGTCCACGCCTGGGGAGACCGAGCTATAGTAGTTGCCGGTTCCCCAAGACTTCTTGAAGACGAAAAGGGCTCTAACGTCGTTGCTAGTTGGGTCAGCCCAACCCTGCTGACGGAATAGAACAATGAGACTAACCAACCGGCAAAGACTGTCGGCAGAAGCTGATTAATGCTGATGCCGAGATTGCTAAGGACATCGTTCAAAGCACCAGACAGTGGGAATCGAAGGCCGAGCAGAATGCTCGTGCGATACACTCCGATACAGCCCGGCAGGGTACAATGGATGCGTTCAACCGCATAAGGAGCAAAAATTCTGACTCCGGGACCGAAGCAAGCTCTTCCCCTCAACTGGGCGAGATCGATATCCTCCAGCACTGACGTGGTCGTCCAGGCAGTCGCTGACGCGGGGGACGGCTAGATACGCGGGGGGCGACACCAACATCTGGAGGAAGCCGTGGTCGTGGCCTCGACCGCGGCGTCAGTCTCGGCGTCTTTGCGACCCATAGGGACCCGTTCTTGCCCGCGAGTGTCGCCTCGAAGAGTCTCCTCGACGAGATTGGCGTCGACATCGGAGTCACCAGGGGAATCGGTACCGACCCCCCTTTTGCAACCCCCAGCATCTGACTGGCTGGAGCCGAGGTCAATAATCTCGACCGTAGAAAACTCTGGGTGCCCTTCTTTGCGCAGACCCGTCGCCGTCGCCACCGATGTCACGCAGCAATCGAAATCGGCGTGACCCGAAGCGGCTGCGTCGTCTCTGCCGTCGGAGGAGAATAAACCACCATCTCCCCAGTCTCCCCCGCCGTGTGCCCCTCGTCCCCGACCGAAAGATTCGCCGCGCAACCAGAAAAGTTCGACATGATTGGAAGAAAATAAAAAGTTTGAGTTTGAGAAAGGGAGTTACCAGGTTGAAAGCGTCGAACACAACTCTGTCGATTGCTCCGAAGGCTCTGAAATTCACTCTCGAGGAACAGCTCAAAATCCAGCGAAAGTGAAGGCTTCACGAGGAAGATGAAGGCGTGTATGTATAGACAACTTCGGCCAATCATAGCGCGACACGTGGTGCACCATTTGAATTTCAAAAATAAAAAACGTAACCGCCCAATTTGGACGGCCGCGATCGGTGCAATCCGACGGATCGATAACATCCGCGTGAGCGCCACGTTACCTCAACCGCCATTCCTCGAAGTGACACGGCGAGCAACACGTACGGACGGGATGACGACACGTGGAAGGGCTCTGAAAAGGCACGACTTTTCAGGGTCGACAACGAGCGCAACAACCACATACCATTAAATGACCCGTCGCTTCAGGTCACGTCATCAATGCGCAGTGATGAGAAGAAAGCATGAACTTTGTGAAGTCAAATGCAAAAGCCGAGCTTGTAGACAAGTGAGCCAGGGGTTTTGGCGAACTCGGACATACCTCTGAACGACGACCTAAGTTGGGATGCTGAGGACGTCCCATCTAAGCTCGGGGGCCTGTATGTTGACACCCGAGTTAGCCCGACAGAGGGGCCGGATAGAAGTCGTCTCAAGAACCGGGCTGGTGCCCCGCTAAAAGAATAAATGCCGAACTGAATGTCGAATAAAAAGGACCGCCGAAGCGGAGAAGCACCATTCCCGAGATCGGCTCTTGCGCTGCTGGAGCGCCGAACTGGGAAGATGACGACCTGAAATGATGATCCCGAAGATAGAGAAGCCACCAGTTCGGGAGCCGACCTGACATGAGAGCACGGCACTCCCGAAGATAAGTACGGGGGCCGCTATTTATATAATATTGCCACTTGGACGATAATGATTGGCGATTAGACGAGCCAGTATAGCCTGCAGGCCTACCGCGTGTAGCCAAGACATAAAGTCTGCCAGCATTAAATGCTCCCCATGTGTGCATTAAATGCCTGACAGACAATGATTAGAGAAACCTCAAATCGCATTAATTCTGTCAGGGAGACGCTGGACTGCTCTGCAAGAGTACTGTGCGACAAGACTGATGAACAGTGCCACATTTAGGAGCACTATAAATAGGAATTCCCCTTCATTTGTTTGGGGTTGTTGAATCTGCATTTACTAAGCAATCTCTATACCTTCTCTCTCTAAAACTTGTAACTAGTTCGTGTAATAAGCAAGTGCGATAAAAATACTGACCTCGATCACAGAGGCGGACCTCACGTTTATATACGAAATTATCATTTCCTTTGCATTTTACTCTCAGTCCATCTCCCTACTCCTCAATACTATTCACTTTTTACTGTTGATCGAATACGTTCATCAACACCACTCCAGCTACAGTAACCACCGATGAACTCCCAAACTTAGAGGAGCAGAAGTTGGGGTTATCGGGGTTTGAGAAGATTCAAAGAAGCCCGAAGGAGGGCCAACTCCGAACGGCCGCGTGGTCGTCGACGCATCGTCAAACGACGGTTGCAAATTCTTCCTTAGAACCTCATCTACCATGAACAGGACACAACTTTTCGAATGAAGGTCCCACAAACGGCGCCAAAATTGTACGGAAAGACCCTCGACTGGCTGGAATCGGCTTGCTCGCGTGCTCCCTCACTGGTTGAACGCCTTCGACATTCAAAAACTCTCACACCGGAGGATTTCTCTGGTGAAGTGTCTCCAATGCTTAAATAAGTATGTGTAGAAGAAGATGATTTGCCAAAAATATAGTGTATAGAACGTAATCATGTAAATTCATACATCTCAAAATAGGGGTGAGGTACCTGCTTCTAGAAGGCTGCCCGAATATGGTGAGCTGGCTACCCTAGCTGCCCGGTAGTACGATTCCCTTGTCAGAATGTGTCAGAAGCGGTTATGAGGCGTGGACCAATGAGATGGTGCCACGTAGTTTGTTTCATGTGGGGCTTAATTTCCTTGAATAGACCACTTAATGATCCGACCAACTCTAGGTCGATTAAGGTGAAGCGCTGACTGCTCTAGGTCTGAGTAATGGTCGATCAGACTACTAGCCATATTCACATGTCGAGCTTTGACTAGGCCGTCCACGGGCCCTAACTCGACCTGTTATTCCTGTCTCCAAACCCCTGTATTCGAGATCAAAGGCTCTTGATCCTATGATACTCGACTACGATCCCTCTGTCCTAATTCCGCTCGACCAGGTGGTTCATTCAGCCTACTCGACCGGTTTATTCCATTTGGTATGGTATCCCATATCACATTGCTTATCATATAATTAATCTCACTCTAAAACTTATTCAGAACAGGGTGAAATAATTTATTTCGTCATCTATCATTATATAAAAAGAATAACCTTTTTACAAATATATAAATATTTTCCCGCCAATATCATTAAATACATCCTATATATAGTAATTGTTGGACAAATCTGAATAGGCAAAAAAATCGGTTCATTAATTGTGTAAAGATTTGTTTCTCTTTTGCAAAAAAAAAGGGTTTAAGATTTGTTTCTCTTTTTCCTATTTTTTAGTTTATCAAAATCGTTGTTTGACAATAAATATTTGTTTTTCTTTTTTCTATTTTTAGTATAAATCTACACTAGCTTATCTATTCTGTTACAAAATCCCATTGCATACGTGTTTAAAAAATCTCATCCCTTATCTATACAGATTTGAAAAAATAAAATAAAATAGAAACCAATTCATAATTACTACTAGAAATCCATTATCTACTTTAATAAGCTAATTTTTATTGGTTTAATTACTTATATTTTTACAAATATTATAAGTTAACCATACAAAAAAGTATAATAATAATTTTAAAATGGTGTGTAATCAAATTTTTTATATTCTCTTATACAAAATAATTTTACATTGTTTGACCCCAAATCTATAATTTATAATTATTAAGTATTGTTTATCCTCCTCTTTAATTTATAATTATTTTTTTTCTTCCTCTTTTTAAATAAGATTAATAGTAGTTTCCACTTTCGTCATTGAGTGACTCTAACTTCGAGATCTATTTATGATATTATTAATTTAATATTATTCCCGTGCATCGCACCGGGTACACACTAGTTTCTTTAAACTCCTCTCCAATTCCCCAAATTGTTTTGTTTTTTTAAATAAAAACCGACCGAGCAGGAAGGCCGAATTGGCCCGAACCTAGTTGAACTGGTCCGTGGAACCCCCCATATAAAAGAGAATCGCGAATAGCGAGGCCCTTCCGATTTCAACTTCACCAGAACTCAGTCGGCCGCAGAGTGTGAAACTGCAAACAGCGGCAGCTGAACAGTAGGAAATGGGAAAGAAAACGAAGAAAGCTGGTAAGGGAAAAGAGAAAACGGAAAAGAAAACCGCAAAAGCCGAGGAAAAAAGGGCTCGCCGGGAGTCCAAGAAGCTCTCTCCCGAAGACGACATCGATGCAATTTTGGTATTCCTATTGTGATATTCCTTGCCAAATGCTCGAATTATAGACTGATTGAATGTTTATTCAGATACGTGCGCTTTTTTTCTAAAATGTTTTTTGGAGTGCAATTCACGTGTTCTGGCGGGAAACATAAGCCCCTGAATTGATTCTTTATTTAGAAATTACATTCCTTTTGTTGTACAACGAGCATTTTCATATCTCACTGTTGGATGCAGTTGAGCATACAAAAAGAGGAGGCAAAAAAGAAGGAAGTGCATGTAGAAGATAATGTCTCAGCCCCATCTCCAAGATCCAATTGCTCTGTACGGTATTAGCTTTAGTGGTGATTGTGTTTGTAGTCGTTTGAATATAAGTCAGCTATGATCACCTTTTTTTGTGCAGCTGACAGTCAATCCGTTGAAAGACACAGAATTAATCCTCTATGGAGGTGAATTTTACAATGGGAAAAGGGTTAGTTGTCTTCCTTTTGATTTCTTGTTTCTTGTTTTTTACATGTAATTAGTCTTAGAACTGAACTTTGTGCTTAGTAAACCGAATATTGAATCAGTTACTTGAGTTAGATGTCTAACTAAGTTGGTTTTGAACGTTACTAGGTTAGACTATTCATTCTTCTAGCATGTAAAACTGCTAGTTCATACCCTGATTGATTAATGTTCAAACACCACCTCTTGAACTAAAAAAAAAATAAAAATAATTGCCCATCACAATTGTTTTTTTCTTGATTTTGACTAATACTAGCTCCCAATATAAATAATTGATTAGATAAACACATCTAAGTGAAATCACGAAAACTGCTAGTCTTACTTTCTTCTGTATTGATGCCTAGTGTAATAGTTTTTAACATGTTAATACTTAATCCTAGCATGCTACCAAAGAGATGCAAAATCATTGTGTGATCCAGTTGCCACTTGTTTGTCCTAGAGGGTGATTAGAAAATGTTTGTAGACCTAAGAATGTTTGACTTATTTCTGGGGTGATGCTCCTAGAAAGTTGCGGATGATATTCTTCAATAATCGTTAAATATTGCATCTTTTCTCGAAATTAAAATCGGTGGGTTCTATGCAGGTGTGATTCCAAAGACTTTTTTTTTTTTTAATCAAATGATTCCAAAGACTTTAAACCATGCCATTTTGCATTTTCCTTTCTCTTCCACTTAATGGAAGAGGTTTTTGAATAAATATATAACATCATGATTGAAGCCAAAATTTGTAATCACTTTCATGCAATTGAGGAAGTTATATCAGCAAAAGGCAAAATGTTTTGTAGAGTTCATATTCGAACATTGTGTTGGTCGTCAGATTGTCCATTCTTTTTTACTAGTCCCTTTGATTTTATGTAATAGGATTAAGTTAGGGCAGCTTCTTCGGCTTCAACTCACAAAGAATCAAACCTTTCTTTATGTCTGGCGCTATTAGAAATTAAGTAATATTTTTAGTTGCCATATTTTCCTTTGGGACTTTCGTCCGTTTACCTTTCATTCTTTTCTTCATAAATTCTTTGTTTCTTATCCTAAAAACCAGTGCATATATTTATATACACTTTGCTAGAGTTGAATGATCGCTTGAGCCGTGCGCTATTGTAGAGAGATTTCTTTTTCTTAATTTGGAAGATTCATAACTACAAAATGAGAGCGAAAAACCCTTGCACAAACATAAATGAATTGGGAGGTGGGAAACATGCCACATCATATTCCTAACTACTGTGTTTGAATATTACTTGTTGTCCCACATTGATTCTGTAGGGCAAATGGGCTTAGTTTATAAGCCTAGGCCGTGTTTGGTAAGCATATAAGTTAGCTTATAGCTTGATTAGCTTATAAGCTTCTTGTATTTAAATAAACTTGATTTGGTAGGACGAACTTTTTTAAAAAACCCGAGCTTATCTCATAAGCTTCCTTGGGTAGCTTTTCATAAAGCCCATTGAAATTTTTATTTCAGCTAGCTTATCAGTTAAATTATCAAACACTTTTATCTTTTATCATATAAGTTAGTTTTTCAACCATAAGTTGTAAGCATAAGTCATAAGCTATCAAGTTGAAAATTCTCTTAAAAGCTAAAAGCTAACTTACTGTTTAGGCTTACCAAACATAGCCTCAGTGGCCTACTCCTTCCATTACCATTTGGTTTTGGGATAGAACCTCACTAAGGTGGCAATGAGGCTCGCCTTCTTAAGGTGTGCTTCACCCTTATGGGACCACATCCCTTCCCTCGACTATATAAATTTAACTTACCCTTAAAAATTGTGAAATAAAAGACACAACCATGTCCTCACATTTCTTATAAATTTTTACATCTTAGTGTGTAATACTAGCTTGTCGGAAGGATCGTGGGATATGGTGGTTGAAATTTTGGTGAGGTGAGCCCGCATGATATTGAAGTGCATAAATGATGTAAAAACCCATCTGTTCCAATAGTCCCTTAGCTTTTTTCACTCAGATTAAGGCAACACATATATTTAACATCGTAAAATCCTAAAAAGTACTCAATTCTATAATTACACCCTAATTTACACAAATAGTAAACTTCAATTTTGGCTTACTTTGAAAACGTCATAGAATCTCACTGAATTTCGGTATAACAAGAAAAGAATTAATTTCTCATACCACGAACTAAGGAAAGGGACTACAATCTTAGGACAAGAAATAAATGAGGTTGTGAGGCTCAAAAATTGGGAGGGAGGGAGTATGTTTTTTTGAAGCAAAAAAAATGGTGAAAAGAACATGAATCACTTGTTTTGGAATTACTGATTCTGAGATGTATCTTGCTTTATGCAGACATTTGTATATGGTGATTTATACCGGTATGATGTTGAAAAACAAGAGTGGAAATTAATCTCAAGCCCCAACAGTCCGCCTCCTCGAAGTGCTCATCAGGCAACCGCCTGGAAAAATTATCTCTATATTTATGGTGAAACATTAGACCGATCAAACTTGGGTTATTGTACAAGAAATGTGAAGGTAACATTTTCTCTTTCCATGCTATCAGGTGGAGAATTCACATCTCCAAATCAAGAGCGTTTTCACCACTACAAGGTATGTGCTGGGACGAAAGAATTCAAACATTAGACTTGCTGGACCAAAACCCGTTGCCTTACCACTGGACCATGCCCCATTTGAATTTCTGTACTCCGTTCAGACACAAATGAAGGTTGTGCAAAGATGAGCTAACAATTTTGAAATTGTAGGACTTTTGGGTGCTGGATCTGAAAACAAACCAGTGGGAACAGTTGAACTATAAAGGTTGTCCAAGTCCACGCTCAGGTCATCGTATGGTAAGTTAGCTCTCTGAAAAGACTTTTATGTTTTTGGTGAAAAATATCATGTTAAAGTAATGCATTGTGATTAATGTAAGATTAATGCCCATAATGCTCAAAAGTAATCATATTGGCATCAGCTGATCTTATTCTACTAGGCGCGCACTGTGAATGGTGAAACCTGGGCATTTTCTTGAAGGAATCTTTGGTCTAAATTCTTGTGCAAATAGTATCAGAGCTACTAAATGGGAGGACAAATGGGAAAAGGGGCCCATAGGTGATTACCTTAGAGTGAGGCACCTTCTCCCTACCAGTTTTGGTCCTGTTAGCAAGAATTATATCATAATACATGTAACATTCAGAGAAAACTTGTGGAATTGATTAAATATTTTAAATGGCAAATAAGTTAGATAGGAAATCTTTATCTCCACTCATAATGCTTAGTCGAAGTGCTGAACTACAAACAGTTTAGGAATTAATAAGGTGTATGAGTAAGTTCCATGAGCTTCGTCTCGATTGGAATAAGCACTTTAATGTTATCAAGCTCCCAAATTACATAGTTCAACTTGGCAAGAGGTTTTCCAAATATGGTGTTAACACAAAGAAACTAGCTTTCTTGTTAACGTTTTGTGATAATCAATGGCAAATTCAATTTGAATATCATCTGGGCGTCTAAAATCTTTATGGGAGAGGTGTTGATGAAATCAATATGTGAGCAATTCTTATGATGAAGCATTCGTTGATGATATGGATTCTTCTTCTCTCTTAGCAATAAAATTTTGTATCGGTGGTGGAATGGTTATGAGTCTCAATTCCAAAATCAAAGTCAGAGGTTTGATTCTCACCACCCCTTCCCTTCTTTGGATATGTTCTAAAAAAAGCAATGAGCCTTCTGTCTCTTAGGAGCTCCACCAGCATTCACCATAGCACCATTTATACAATTCTGTAAGAAAAGTGTTTAGGTAGCCTTATTGCTTTCTTATTGATTGGCAAGCATAGTTGTCTACTTAATTTACAACAGTGTTATCAAATGGCGGCCATGGCTGATTTTTGACAAACCACCATGCTAAATTTGTGAAGGATGGCGGTTACGGTGGTGCCATAGGCCTTCATGGTGGCCAATTTTTTCCTGCCGCCATTTACCGCCATCCGCAAGTAATAACATTGATTTACAAGAATGCAGTTATTGTTAATTGTTTGAAGTGTATGTTTGACCCAAATCAATTAGTTATTGGGTTGTTATTGTGTATAAGTGTGGGTTGGACATCCTCTCCATGTCAGCTAGCTTTTGTGGATGAGTTCTTTCCAATCCAAATTTGTTTATTTGGAGATGATGTTGGGTAAATGTTGTTTGGTTTGGCATGCTATATGTGAGGACGGATGGTAGAAATAGATGTTTACCTCACATTGATTTGTTATTCTGTTGATAGTGTGTGAACATGTGGGTTTGACACCCTTCCCCTTTGAGGTAGCCTTTGGGGATGCCTTCTACGCAAACCATTTATCACTACTACCTAAACTTATTCAGGACATGAAAGAGTATGAACATATAGTAATCAGTGTTTCCATTACGGTTAAGATCGTGTAATGTTGTTGGGGATTTATTGTATCGTGGTTCTTGTGATAAATTGTCTTAAAAATAAATAACAGAATCCTTTTCTTTTAGGCTCTTTACTCTGATAGTTGGGTTTCACTTGGATGCTTTCGCTCTGTGATGACATGAGAACTAGGGTCATTTGAACATTAACCATTTTATGGGCTTACCGTTTGTCCTGTGAGAGATAGCCACAGTCTACAATTGCTGCCAAATATGACATTTTTAAAATACATTGCAGGTCTTGCTAGATGCATCCATTTCAATAGTTGTATCATCCTAACTTGATCACTTAACCTTTTCACGCGTGAAGATGAATTATATATCACACTTGTATTTAACAAAGCAGAAACAGAGATCTTGTTTAACATTTGTTTTCAGGGAGTCGATATGTTTACTTTGTCTTGGCTCCGTTGAGCATGGCAGACTGGCAGTGGTGGCCATGGTGGAAAGCCAAAAGGCCTCCATATATCTAAGCAGATGTCTTGCGGAAAATGACGGAAGTCATGACTGACCCAAAAATATGTAATTTATGCATTTCTACACAAAATACGCCCATATATATAAAACAACTATGTTTATATATATCTTTCGGAAACATCACACTTCTTTACTAGACCTAGAAAGTGAAGAGATCCTGATCTTCCCGTCTGATATTTTCTGAAATAGCAGATGCTACTTTCTTCTTATTAAAAAAGAAAAACCATAGTTGACCAGTCCGATCCTCTTTGAGAAAATCGGTTACGAAAGAATTGGTCATGGACCGGTCAAACATATAGAAACCAGTCAAAACCGGCTGGTCGGCCGGTTTACTTTTTAGATTTTTTTTATAAATTAGTATAAATTTTTTTAATATAAAATTACATATTAGACTATTTTAGAATTTGTGTGTATATAAATTATTATATCAATTATTTTAGGCATTTGCATGTTTTAAATTATCTAAATATAATTAATGATGTTTTTATATATAAAAGTTATTTAAAATTATTTTATAATATTTAAAATATTAATAAATAAATACCGGTCCAACTTGTTCAACTGTTGGCCCAACCAATGAAACATTTAACCTAAAAGTAAAAACAAAGAATAAGAAAGTTTCCATAGTTCCAAACTCTGTTTCAGCCTTCAGGAACCGAAAAAAAAATGGCTACTCAAGGTTCCCGGAGGAAGGGTCGCCACCTCTGGATGGAGGATTGGTTTCTCTGCCCCTCTAAAACTACGTTTTTTTTTGGTCTGATACTTCCTCAATCCCTTATCTCCTATTTTGTTCTTTCTTTTATTTTCAGAAATTTGGATAACTAAAGTGAAATTAGGCCAGCCCAACTGGTTTCTAGTTCCAATTTGTTTAGGCCATAAAATGGCCAATATTCAAGCCATGACCGCCATGCGGTGGCCATGGAAAACCTGCAACAAGGCGACCACATATGGCGGATCAGCCAAAATCCGCTACGCCATTTTGCCATGGCGCCAATTTGATAACACTGCCTTTGAGTCATGAAAGCAGTGGAGGTGTTAATAAAAAATTTTATGGGCATGTTTTCATTGTGGATTGGTAGACATTTCCAATTTGAATCAGTTCCATCTCAATCTATAGTGCTGCTTGCTTTCTGTTAGATGTGCTATGTATTATGTCAACTTCTTTTACACCTTATATTAAGATTTCCTAAGCCCATTTGTATGTTGCTTTTTTACTCTTTCAATCATGAGTGTTTATTCTAGTATGTACTCTGCTTTACTTTTTCTTTCATTTTTATTTATTTGTATTATTCTTTTATTTTCCCTCCCATGATCTTTTTACGTTATAGTTTGTGTCTGAGTGTTAGGCATACTCTTGTGATGATTGTGGTTGTTTGTAATTTTTTCTTTGTTCTTTTTTCTTTCTTGCTCTGATCTTTCATTCTTATGTCTCTTTGAGCTATGAATTCTTATGGTTCAATTTTCAAAACTTTGAAGGTCCTGTACAAGCACAAGATTGTTATTTTTGGAGGCTTCTATGACACTCTTAGGGAAGTAAGGTGGGTTCTGGTTTTTTGCCTGTATATGTTCTGGTTTTCAACTATATCGCTTTGATGTGCTATAAGATTTCTCTGCACCATTTTTAGAAATTCAGTATACTTGTTTGATTAAATGAGAGTTTAAGGGTAAAGTTGGAAAAAGTTTGTAGCTGGAGAGCCAGTTCAAAAATGTTACCCATAATTTTATGGAGGATTAATGCCTAGTTGTAAATGTTTCACCTGGTGGTGATGAATATTGGTGCATGCATGCATGAACTAAGTAACTGGATGAATTAAGATACTTTGGTTAGAAATTGACACTGATCTGGAAGATTGGATATGATCGACTCATATTATTGGTACTTGTGAGGGAGGAGGTTATGTTTGCTAGTAGAGAGATAGTTGCCTAAAGGTAGAATCGAAATAATTTAGTGCACTAACTTTTGTACTTAATTTGCAAACCGTGGTAACAACTTCCGTTTAATTGTAGAGAATGGGGCATAATCTGATGGATCATTTCTTAAATTAAGATCTACATATTTGATGCTTTGATTAGTTGATGTTAAGATTTTGTATGAGAAACTGGCATAGCTGATCTCCAAGATAGTGCCTGTTCAAAGATGATATTCTTGGCACATCGTGAAGATGAATGTTGAATTTTGAAAGCATAGAAAAGTTTTTCCAAGGATTTCTATGTTGTCAATTTAGAAAAGTTTTTTTCCTATGTTGAATTTTTTTATTTTTTATTTTAGATAAAACTAGGTGAAACCAATGATTAAAAACGGCGGTTCCATGGAGTAAGGCATGGCGAGGCCTGGGAGCCTTGAATGGGTGTGGCAAGGTTCACGTGCGAAAAGGCGATGCCAAGGCCCTCACCACAATTAATTGAGGCACTAATCCTAATTTTAGGGCATCGGTTAGGGTTTTTTCATAAATATATCTCAATTACACCTCTGTGCCCCAACCAAACTGTCAATTGGCTTGTGTTTTACCTTCATCTGAGCCCAGTATCCTGGTCCCGGCAGTTTTGAGACCGACCGACTGAGAGTGAAGCTATTTCTTTTCACGTTCTGTTCTTTCTTTATTTTCTTTTGTCAATAACATTCTATATGAGTGAGTGATTCTGCCCATTTTTCTTGTAAATAAAATTTTATGCTATGATGAGTTGGTGGGTCAACAATAGCTCAAAAAAATAGCTATCATAATCAAAGACTATGGCTCTTGTTTGTCTGAAAAAAGTTTTTCTCTGGGATTTTTTTTTTATTTATTTTTTTAACCTGGATTATATGTAATTTGTTCATTGTCCATAAATCTTTATTTTTGCATGATGGCTTGCCTTGCCTCGCGCCTTACCCCTTGGCAAATAATAGGCCTCTCGCCTTTGTGGGCGCCTCACACCTTTTTTATCACTGGTGGGAGTAAAGTTTTTACACACCTTTGGGGTGTTCTAACAATATGGAGTTATGTAGTTACTAGAAAGTTGCACATTTTGGAGCCTAGTAATAAAACTGGCTAGGTTTAGGTGCATCCTTGTAGTTTTATAGGATCCAAGTTTGTGGGGTGCAAAGTGGGTGAGGTACCCAGTTCATAATTTATCCTGAGGTGCAGTTTGTACTTGTTTTTTTGTAGTGCTTTTTTACCACCTAAATATTATACTGATGCAGGTATTTCAACGATTTGCACGTATTTGACCTGGATCAGTTTAAGGTATGGTATGCTGATGACTTCATACTTTGCCGATGTTTATTGGTGCTTTCACTTCTCGATTTTAAAGCTTGAACAATAATTTCTTTCATTGTAGTGGCTAGAGATAAAACCTAGACCAGGGTGCATGTGGCCAAGTCCTCGAAGTGGTTTCCAGTTTGTTGTTCACCAAGATGAGGTAGGGAATGAAAATTGCATTATTCATTATGGATATTAACATGTTTAACCCTGTGCTGGCATCTAATATCGTTAATACTACTAAAAATGATATGAAAATTTTAATCATAAAATCTTAAACAGTAAACTTAATTATACTAACACTGGATACGTGTTCCCACCGTTGTCTCATTTATTAATATTTTATTTCAGATTTATTTATATGGTGGTTATTCAAAAGAACTCACATCATCCGATAAAAAAGTATCCGAGAAAGGAATTGTTCATTCAGACATGTGGTGTCTTGATCCTAGAACTTGGGAGTGGAATAAGGTATTTAACTATTTATGTTTCTTTTAGCTACTTACTGTTGTTATGTCATGGATAAGCAATGTTGACACACATAATCAGATTTCTTCTTCTTTCTTCTTTTTCTTTTTCTTTTGTTATTTAGTGGCATTGTTATCATGATTCTGATGGATAAATTTTCCCCTCTTTTTGGTACTCATGTTGATTGTCTTTTATCATTAAATCTTCTTGTCATCATGACACAAGAAAAGCTGATAAAAGGAGTTCTTATTTGAGAAATCTTTCGTGCTATTGTAATTGTAGTTTGGTTCAGTTCTGTCTCATTTGTTAAGTCATAGAGTAATGGATCCTGGAAATGACTAGTTCCCAATTCCTGGTCAATTTGGTCTATGTTTCTAGTTTCCATTTTTCTTTCCCTTTCCTTCTCAAAAATTTCAATTTAAAGAATAATGATTTATTAATTTAATTTGTCCTTGAGGTGATTATTCAAAAATAATAAAGCCAGGATTTCCTTGAATGAACTTAACAATTGCTTAGATAAAGCATGTGAATAGTTCTGTTAGATGATACAATGTTAATGGAGAGATTAGTGGGAATTTTATTAGTTTATGGGTTTCACGGAAATAGATAATTAGTATAGTTATTTGAGACCTCAAAAGATGCTACTGCTGGCCCTGTTGCTCCTTAAGGTATTTTATTGGATTAATATATATGCTAATTTTTTATTGTGACTCTTTCTTTGCTAATTATTGAATTATTTGTGCTCCTTACAAGATGACTTCCATTATCTACAATCAGTTAACTACTATTTATTTATGTAAAAGGTCAAGAAAAGTGGGATGCCTCCTGGACCTCGTGCTGGTTTCTCAATGGCTGTGCATAAAAAGAGGGCCTTGCTCTTTGGTGGAGTGGTGGATATGGAAATGGAAGGTCTTTCTTGTACTAGCTAATTTTCATTCATGTGTCCACTAACTAAATTCAGCTCATTTCTTTTTTATAAAGTGGATATTTAATTTCATTATAAGTTGTCCCATGATGAGGTGTAGCAGTTTAAAATCTTTGTCTGGAAACTAAATTTAAAGTTGTCGTTTCTTATACTTTGGAGTCACTGATCAGACTGGCAAAGGAAGTCTCAGATATGAGATGTTGTGATAGATTTGAGGAAGTGAATGAAATTGCACCCTTTGACTTTGATAAAAGATAGGAGGGCTGATCAACCGTAGATGAATTATGTTCTATTGGTCACATCGTTCCTCATTTATTCATTTTCTTTTTGTAATCAGAGAGCAGAGTATACTACTCCGTTGTTTTTTGCTATGTTGAGGTCCTGCTGTAAGTTCTGACCTAAGTTTCTCTGCAGGTGACCTAATGATGAGCTTGTTCTTGAATGAGATTTATGGCTTCCAATTAGACAATCATCGCTGGTAATTTCTGTCCTGCTGCATGCCTTTAGTTTTTCTTATCAAATAACATTCAATTTTCCTTGTAACATTTTGTTTATCTGTACAAAATTGTCTTTTCTTTTCCCTTTTCCTGTGGTGTGGGTTTCTATAGAATTTGATATAATCACAGTTACTAAAGGAAATGAGGAAGTATGTGGTTTGTGAAAAGCCAATGAACTATAGTGATTCTGGAATTGTTTGTTTGTTTCTTGTTAGAAGTTGTGTTTGTCCCACATAAATTAGTTACTGAGCCATTATTATGTATTAAGAATGGATTCTGACACCTCTTCCTTGTACAAGTGTGGATTGAGCACCCTCTACCAAAGGCAACTCATCCCAAAGGCAACTCAAAGGGAGAGGGTGTCAGAATCCATTCTTAATACATAATAATGGCTCAGTAACTAATTTATGGGGGACAAACACAACTTCTAACAAGAAACAGCATTTTGCATTAATGGGCCTGGGCAAAACTCATCCCAAAGGCAACTCAAAGGGAGAGGGTGTCCAGCCCACACTTGTATACTATAGCGGCCCAGTAACTAATTGATGTGGGACAAATATAACTTCTAATATTTATTAACTCGTTCTTCGTCTTTCTGTGTACACTGATTTAAGAAAAGTGGCACTTGGACTTGTATCTCTTCATTCCGGCCGTGTAGTTTTTTTCTAGGCCGTTCACTATTTGTACTGTTCTTTCTTCTACTATCCTTTGACTTTGGTGAGTAGTTCTTATGCTGAATTAATGAAAATTATTTTTTTTTGTTTTGAAAGGTATCCATTGGAACTGCGAAAGGATAAGGTGACTAAGGAAAAGGTATTAGTTACTGTATTCCAATTTGGGTAGCTTTTTAACTGAATTATCAAAGTCCTATTTGTAAACTTCACAATTTCGGTCTGTTTCAAAAAAGTTGTACGTGTAGCTGTATATAAAACTCTTTCTTCCTTTTAATGTTGCGTAGTTTCATACGATCGACTCACATGTTTCCTGTTTCAAACGGCTTTTCAGTTAAAGAAGGCTTCCGATGGAATGGGCAGCGATATGAATCATGATATCAGGAAACCATTAATGCAAAATGCTGTTTCATCTGATGATGATGAAACTTCTGATAATGATGACGCTGACATAGACAATGACATAAAAGATATCTCTGTTAATATGAACATAAATGTAACAGTTACTGATAGAGAGAAAGGTTCTGGATCTGGCAAGAAATTTGCAGTGCAAAATTCTGTTCTACCAGAGGTTTGTTCTTTGTGAATCTCTTGACTGCTAATTTAATATAATTGCTATTCCTCGAATTTGGTTTGCAGTTTATGGGTATAATGTTAACTGATTTGAGTGTGGTTTTCAGATAGTGAAACCTTGTGGGAGAATCAATTCTTGTATGGCTGTTGGAAAAGATACATTATATATTTATGGGGGCATGATGGAAATTAAAGATCGTGAGATTACACTTGACGATCTTTATGCTCTTAATCTTAGCAAACTGGATGAGTGGAAGTGCATCATTCAGGTTTAATGTTTCCGTAGTGATTGTTTGTCTAGTTACCTATATTTCTGGAATACTTTTTCATGTGGCGTTTTATTTCTTACTTTGTGAAGGCATCTGAATCAGAGTGGATTGAAGCATCAGACAATGAAGATGAGGATGAGGATGAGGATGAAGATAATAGTGAAGATGAAGAGTCTGACACTGAAGATGACAGTGGAGATTCTGGTGATGATGAAGATGACGGTTTTGAGGTGTTTGTTTTCTTTTTCATAGATTAAAGATTAAAAAAATCAAATCTTGTGTATGGTCAATTTTGTCCCAGAGGCAATAAATAAAACAAGTTGTTCTACTTTGAAGGCTAATGAAATGGGGGATGCTGTAGCAATAATAAAGGGAGAAGGGAAAAGCCTCCGGAGGAAGGAAAAACGAGGCAGGATCGAGCAAATTAGAGCCAGCCTCGGTCTTTCTGACTCACAAAGAACTCCACTGGTATCTTAATTATCAATTATCATCCTCAACAGTGTATTTATTTGCTTATCATCTGCTTTTAACTTGGCTTTCATTTGTGTTTCTTTGTCTCTCCTTCAAAGTTATACATATAATCACGATTTGATGACCTCTTCTCTTATTTTACACGAAGCCTGGGGAAACTCTACGAGAGTTCTACAAACGTACAAATATGTACTGGCAAATGGCTGCATATGAACATACACAACACACTGGAAAGGTCGGTATTCCGCTTGAATCTATAGCCATTTCTATCTAGTTATTTACTCCATTTCCTTCCCTTTTCCTTGCTACAGGTCGAGGTCAAAACCCTTGAGGCCATTTATTTAAACCATTGCTGCATATAGTTGAACCTAAAATAATTTGGCTTTAGTAAAGCAATCACATCACAATTATATAATTTTCAAATATATTCTCTCATGAACCATGAGGTTTGATTTATATGAGCGTAAATGACTTAAATGTAATTAATTATTATCAAATGTACTATAAAAGCATTTCAAGCTGAATACCAATATCACAGAACTCATTTATAAGCTTCCAAACATTTTCCTGACACTTTTCAGACCTAAGGCAAAGTCATTTTAGAAGATTGTTCATCCTTAACATCTGTCATTTCATTTCATTCCATTATATGACGTTTGGAACAGGAACTTCGGAAAGATGGATTTGATCTTGCTAAAACTAGGTACAAGGAACTCAAGCCGATACTTGATGAGGTAATCTAATCTTCCAGTTTCTGCTTTCAGGTGTTTAATTTAAGATCACACAGTAACAAACTCATAAAACTTTATTTGGGTACAATCAGTTGGCTATCTTAGAGGCGGAACAAAAGAAAGAAGAGGAGGAAGCACCAGAAACTAGTGGACCAAGAAAGAAGGGCCACAAGAAGACGGGCAAACTATCTGCATCCAAGTGAATGGTAAAATTAGATTGGGATCAAGCTTTTGTTCTTTGTTTCTTCTTATTTATCTTCTGGATTTGTTTTTATATAAGCCTCAAGTGTTTTGTCCATGGTTGTCAAAAAACATGCATCACATATATGGGGACTATGAAGTACTCGATATATAATGTAGGATTGAGGATGCATTGTGTATTATGTTTTGTCACATTTACTGGACTTTAGATATTTCAGGTCTTGTATTGAAGCAATTTTACAAATTGGAGTGAGCATTCCATGACATTAACCAATATTTGTTCCTTTTCGGCTTCATTTATTTATTCTAGTATAAAAATAAGCTTAGACGGGTCTCATTGTTAATTTTGTTTTTCCCCGTGTGAGTATCCTCATCTTTATGATGACAATTCATCTATTCAGTCACTATATATGAACAGATGGATTTTAGCTGATATCTCTAAGTGAATTGCTAAATACTGCCTCCTATTACTACCTACTGCCCCCCACCGTCAACCCTTTTTTATGTTTTCGCCCTTTAGCTCTCTCTCTCTCTCTCTTACTCTCTTTACTCTCTTTCCTTCTCGAACTTTTCGGCTCTTCCACGCCTCGTTTCACCTCAAAGAAAAATCCGAAAAAATTTCAAATCCTCGCGAGGGCCGAGGCAAGGGATTCATGATTGGCCCGGTCGCGAAGGATGTGTCCGGCTGTAGATTGCGGCTAGCTAGGGTGCAATCGGTAGCTAGGGTTCGGCTGCGCCCGTTCGTGTCCGGCAATCAGGTCGGACGTAGCCCTGGCGTCCGCCATTTGCGGTCGGACGCGCAAATAAACTGCCGCCGTTGGTGGCCGGCCGTTCCCAAGGCTGCTGTCTTCGCCGTTCGGTAATGCGGTCGGCGAGTGGTGACCGGAGGCCGGCCGGATTTTTTTAATAATTAAAATTATTTAATAATTAATTTTTAAATATGTTTAAATATTAAAAAAATAGAATTGACTTAATTTTTTGATTTAGATTAATTTAGATAAATTTTAGTTAAGTTATTATTAATAATATCTTACTTATAAATAATATATTATATGTAAAACTTAAATTTAATTATACTAAAATTATGATAAAAATAATTTTTAATAATTCTAATTATTAATAGGATAATGCATCTAACTTTAATATTTTTAGGAAACGAAGTAGTTGTAATATATGTATTAAAATGATTTGTTGAGTAATTATTAGTTTCACAAAATTATAATTAGTATTTTAATATAAGTTGAAAAAATTATATAATCTTTTAATTAATTAGTTGCATAATTATATAATCAAAAAGTGGAATTATTTTAATTTTGTGGTTAGGAATAATTACTAAATTAATTTTCTTAATACTTTTTAGAAAATAATTATTTCTAATATTTAATAATATATTTTAGAAAATAGTAATAATTAATAATATAATATTAATTATAATTAGGTTGTATAAAATATATTATTAATTAGTTTAAATTGTTGATTTAGACTGCTGGTAGACCTGGGCGATAGGCCACCGATGAAGAGGTTGTCGAGTATTTTGGTTTTGGACCCCGACACAAGAAGAGTCGGTATGTAGATGGCAGATGCTTCCGCTCGTCGGGAGAGAGGAGATGATGCGTCAGGCTCGCATGAGACAGACTAGTCACGCTGACCAGGCTGGCAGTTCGAGACCTTCCGCTCCGGTACAGAGTGGTCAGCAGCCACGCTTATTCTTGGCTAGCAGTTCGAGATCTCTCGCTCCGATCCCGATTGCTCAGCAGCGGGCTTATTATTATGAGTCGACAACCGAGAGGGTGTAGTCCTCATATGAGTCTGAGGACTATGACTCTGCATATGAGCAGGACGTTATTCCTCCTCCCCACGGCAGGCTCCTGCACGACCTGCACTGTAACATCCCATTCAGTTATTAATAAAAGTAATTATTTTTAGTTCCGAGTTTGAGCTAATTTATTTTTATTAATAATGCTTGTTCCTAGTTTCGAGCCTAGTTATTAAGTTGCTCAGTTATAAGTTCGAATTTAAGTCGAAAGTATTCTCGGTTAAATTCTATTCAGTAATCGAGTCAGTTCAATAATTAATTCCGGTCTGTTTATTGTTATAAATGGATTTTATAAGACGTAATTAATTATTTTAAGTTTTATGATTAATTAGACATGAGTGTTAATTTAATCATTTAAGATAATTAATTTATTTAGACATTTTGGCTATTTAAATTAAATTTAGAGTTAACCGAGAGTATTAGAATATTATTTTATTGGCTTATTAGAATTATCCTAGACCCGATTATTAGCCGTTCTTTTATACTGATTCGTGGCCATCAGTTTAATTAAGTTTGGCCATCAGTTTAATTAAGTTGGTTCAGGTAGAAAATCCTTTTCAGTTGCTATTAAATATCTCAGCCAAATTATAGTCAAAGATCACGCACTTTCGTCAATCGGGTAGAGTTAAGAGTTAAGAGCAGATATATTATATATGTATATTTCATTATAAAATTTTTCTTTCACGCCACCTTTGATCAATTAATATACAAATATCGGCCTTATCAAATAAATCCTTCTACCGCAAGTGATAAGGTTGTAGAGATGTTATCAAATTCTCTTTCCAGCTCAACTATTTCAATGCGCACGCCACTATGTTTGAGAGTGAAGGCTAGTAAATTTCTATATATTATGTCACTATTAGTCATTTCTTCATGTAATTAGTATACATATATTAATCTATATCTATATAGTTTCCTCTTCTTTTTCCTTCTATATATTCGATGACCGAGCTTTCATCTTCCTAGCCAAAGTTTCTTCTCATGAGAAATCGTTCAAACTTCATCCTAGTGACTCATAATTTATGAGCAGTACCAGAAAATTTCTTTTTCCTTCTTCGTGCGCTGTAAAAGAAAACTAAACAATCGGCCATAAATAAATCAACATAAAGGTGTAGAATTTTCATTGAAAAGAGGGTCTGCATTCTCTTGCACTTTTACAAGTTTCAGAAATGTTTTCTACATCTATCCTCACTCCTAATCTCTACATTTATGTGCGGCTGCTCATCCTCTTCCCAAGGCTTCATGGACACGTGTTCCATTTCCAAGGTAAGACCTAGTGTTCCTTAAATACTGTTCATTGGCCGATTTGCCCTTACTTCCTCGTTCTGGTTGCTTGCATGTGGGGCATGTTGTCATGGCATGTTCTTTGTCTTCTTCTTCCCTTTTTTCCAGCCACCTCATCATCCCTTTTATTTTTTTCTTCTTGATAGCTTGACTTTTCACCAATGCTCACGTATGCATGAGCTTTAACATCCCCCTTCAATTCCATGCTCGGTTTCATAACTAACTGAAGTTTGTTCCTCAACCGTGCATAGAATTGCCCTGATAGAGCTTTGGTGAATATATCTGCTACTTGTTCAGTAGCAGGAACGTGCTGCACAGATATGGTTCTTCTTTCCACCTTCTCCCTTATAAAATGAAGATCCAATTCCAGATGTTTTGTTCTTGCATGATAAACAGGATTTGCTGCAAGACATACTGCCCCTCTATTGTCCACCCAAATGGTGCTGGTCTTAGCAAACTTCACTTTCAATTCAGTGAGTAGGGACTGTATCCATGTAATCTCACAACTAGCTTGAGCAACACTTCTATATTCAGCTTCTGTTGATGACCTCGAGACAACTGCTTGCTTTTTAGAGATCCAAGATATTAAGTTTTCTCCAAAATAGACACAAATACCTGAGGTGGACCTCCTATCATCTGGGTCAGACCCCCAATCTGCATCAGAGAAGCTGTGAGGTTGAAATGAGTGCATTTCTGGATATTAAGAGCATAGGATCTTGTTCCTGCCAGATATCTCAGTATTCTTTTTACTGCCTTCCAATGAGTGTCTAGAGGGTGCTGCATGAACTGGCATACCTTATTTACACTGAAGGAAATGTCTGGCCTAGTGAGAGTTACATATTGTAAAGCTCCAACAATTTGTCTGTATAGGTAGACATTTTCCATAGGGTTACCATTGGATTTGGACAGGGGTGGATGAGAAACCATAGGAGATGCAAGACTCTTGGCCCCCTTCATCCCAGCCCTGTCAAGAAGAGAGTCAATGTATTGGGATTGATCCAATAATAGGCCATTCTGAGTGTAGGTGACTTGAATGCCAAGGAAAAAGTTGAGTTGGCCAATGTCCTTTAAAGAGAAATGTTCAAGGAGAGAGTGAAATAACTGAGTCAATTCTGAGGGATTGCTGCCGGTTAGAATAATGTCATCTACATAAACAAGTAGAAAGATGGAAGAAGAAGAATTATGTCTGAAATAAAGTGAGGGGTCAGCTTTGGAAATGGAGAAACCAAGTGAAGATAAGACAGTAGCAAACATTGAGGACCATGCTCTTGAAGACTGTTTGAGGCCATAAAGGGACTTATGAAGTTTGCAAACCAATCCCTTGTGAGGTTCAACCTCAAAACCTGAGGGCTGATCCATAAAGATATCTTCATCTAAGGTGCCATTTAGAAAGGCATTGTCAACATCCAATTGTCTGATGTGCCAGCCAAGGGTTATAGCAATGGATAAGACAATTCTGATAGTGTTAGGCTTGACCACAGAGCTGAAGGTCTCCTTGTAATCCAAGCCAGCATGTTGGGTGTAGCCTTTAGCTACTAGCCTGGCTTTATATCTTGCAACAGATCCATCAGGGTTTCTTTTGAGCTTAAAAACCCACTTGTTGCCAATAATGCTTCTGTTTGGTGGAGCTGGTACTAGGCTCCAAGTGTTGTTGCTAAGTAAAGCATGGTATTCTTGCTTCATGGCAGTGAACCATTCTGGGGATGAAAGAGCCTCAGAAAGAGAATGTGGTTCTGAAGGGATAACTGCCTGTGAGGAGTAAGCTTTAGGCTTAAAGATCCCTACCTTTGATCTTGTGGTCATGTGGTGAGCATTATTTGGAACCTGAGACACTTGAGAAGAAGGGTTAGAAGTACCAGAATCAGGTAAGATATCATGTACAACTGGTAAATCAATAAATATCTGGCCAATGGGAATGGAAGAGGAAGTGGAGGTTCTGGAATTAGAGTGTGAAGGGTTGTGGTGATGAGATGATGAATGCTGCGAAGGTGTAGAGTGGTGGGGTGACAACTGAGATGTAATAGGAGATGGTTGAGATGAAGGATCAAGATTAAGTGTTGATATGGGAAGTGGAAAAATAGAGGGTGGTGGTTGAGGAAAATTGGTTGAAGAAGGTGAGTGTGGTGAGATTGTGAAGTCTGTTTGGAATGGGTAAATAGTTTCATCAAAAAGTACATGTCTAGTAATAATG